GCACTTTTAATGGGGACTATATCTTTCTCAATTATTATTTGATTAAAGAATGTGCATGCATTTGCCAGTGTACTTCTAAAGTGGGATGCAAGCTGCAACTGCCTACCTGCCCACAGGTAAGCAGAATCTCTCACATTGGCTCTGTGTTGCTGCTCCAGGAGAGTTCACACTTGTGCCAGGCCTAGAATCATATTCTTCAAGTGTTGAGTGTGGAATCAGGTATCGCTGGCAGCCCTACGACACCTCTAGGGTATGTCAGTCTTAAAGTGTATGAATGCAAATGTGTAAATGTCAGCAAAGTAATATTATCTATGCATACCAATCAAAGAGGAAAAAGAGATCCATCCTGGCCCAGATTATTTTGAATATAAAACTTTTAATTCCGAAGCTTTCTGGTTTGTTGAAGGTTGTTGTCTCCCCACAAAATGTTTGCTAATTGAAAATGTAAAAGTGTCCACTGCTCAAAGGACCTGGAATTCCAAAGGAAGCTGGGCCCCAGAAGCTGAAGAAGGGAAAGGCAAACAGCCTTCCCTTTCCCCCGCCCCCAGCCTTTCCAACAAGGTCACCCTTTCTAATTAAGAAGACAAATAATTTTAGTCAGTAACTGATAAGAAAGCAAATTAAATTTCATTTGGTTTGAAAAGTATTCCAATATGCTTAAGAGTTGGTTTAAAGTCACTTTAAGAAATTTAACAGTGTACATAATTCTTGTACTACTTCATGTTTTCTCAATGAGAAATCCCTTAAAACAAAATAAAAACAACTACCACCATAAGTGAGGGAGAGGCTTATTATTTTTTTTTAGAAAGTATTTGGCAATTTGGAGTTCTCTGAGAAACTCCATTTAATCATTTACCTATAATGAATCACTTTAACTACTAAGGACACAATTTTTAAAAATTCTAAAACTTATGCATCATAATGGTGACATAACCTCTCCATTAAAGACTCAATGAAAAAATGAACCCTTGCTAAAAATTTCCCATAAGTCCAGGAAAATAAAAATAGCTTATAACTATTTTGTCAATTTAATGTTAAATTAAATGGACACCCCTATTTCCTGACTTCCTTGTTCCTGTAATGATGTATACCAGGTACTCTCATGTACTTAGGAAAAAATATTTATGACTGTTGTTAGGATATAACCAACACACAATTGCACAAATGGACCCACATGAATGTCTGCCATTAAAATGTCTTTGTTGCCCTGGGTGGTGTGGCTCAGTGGATTGAGTGTTGGACTGTGAACCAAAGGGTCGCTGGTTCAATTCCCAGTTAGGACACATGCCTGGGTTGCAGGCCGGGTCCCCAGCGTGGTGTGCAAGAGAGGCAACCACACATTGATGTTTCTCTCTCTCTTTCTCCCTGCCTCCTCCTCTCTCTGAAAATAAAATCTTTAAAAAAATGAAGCTTTAAGAAAATGTTTTCTTTGGTGCAAAATAATCTGAAAGTGCTTACAGTCATCACATTGCTGATTGTGCTGTTATTCTCATTCCAAGACTGTTGTATGTGTGTTGTGGGATAAGGCAGATGAGTGATTTACACTGGTGTCTTGAGGACCTATGCTTGTCAACATGTCAGAAAAAATAAACAGCTGTACAATTCATTGGGTAAAATAAAAACTTGGCAGCTCTGGATTTGAATTGGAAGTTTCAGTTTAACCTGAGAGTGATTTTATCTTTAAATAATATACACAGAATATGTTGCTTATACATTAGCTCTGCCCAATGAAATGACCAAGAAACAAAGAGCAGACTAGTATCAAAAAGCACCCATAGCACCAAGATTATGCACTCTCTTAAACACTAGAAGGAGAAGTCTGCATCCAGGTTTGTATCATGATTTGTACAAGCAGAGCATGAAATATTCTATAATACCAGGAAGCAAAGAAGCTGTTCAAGACTACGAAAGACATTTCAAAAGGACTCAAAAGCCAGTTTGAAGAGGTTCCCACAGCCCAAAATACATTAATTTGAATAAAATATAATTTTAGTGAATTGAAATATGTCAAATATGTTTAGGTATATAAGTAAAATGTAAATATTAATAATAATAAACTTACTGGTCAGTTTTAAGTGATGCTAGGGAACCAATGTCTTAAAGTTGATAAATAAAAAAGACATACTATCTCATTGTAACCAAATGATTAATGAAGGCATGTTTTTCTTTATAAAGTATATCAGCAAATAAATGAAAAAGAAATGATGACATATCACCATTTTGCAACCCCCTATGAATTAATTACTGGACCTAGACATGATCATTAATGACAGCTTACATTAAAAGAGAAAACTAGGCAGTATTTCTCCTGATAGAAGTATCACCCAATGGTCCAACGGTCTTGGAGGGAAAAAAACCCTGAACCTAGTAATAAAGCCTCAATATAAAAACATCAACATAAAAGGAATATCATGGGGTACAATCAGCAAAATCTAGATTGAAGAAAGCTCTATAGAATAAGTGATTATATATTTTTTTAAATAATAGAGTGAGAGAGAGGGTGAGAGGCTCTAGATTAAGAGAAATATTGGTGACATATCAGTTATTTGCAATCTACAGACTTTATGCTAGTCCTGACTCAAATTAACTGTTACAAATATTAATGAGACTATTAGAGAAACTTGAAAACAAACTAAATATATAATGTTATTAAGGAAGTATTGCTGATTCTTATGGAGCCCAAGGTGTTGTGATAAGTGCTGAAATATTTATAAATGAAATACTAGAATGTTTGGCATTTTCTTCATGATAATCTTTAGAGAGGGAAAAAGTGGGTACTGGTATAGATGAGACAAGGTTGGCTAATGAGTAGTAGTTATTCAGCCTGAGCAGTGGGTATACAGAGGTTCATTAGACCATTAGTTTCTCTAGTTTATGAGTTTGACATTTCCTTTCATAAAAGGTTAAAAAATATTCTTGTTCAAAATTTGGCCATTTATTGTCTAAGGATTTCTTCCTATAAGAAATCCTATAAGGATTTCTATAGGATTTCTTCCTATAAGAAATCCTTAGACAATAAAATCTGCACAACTAAAGTTAGGCTACAGATTTAAATCATAATGGCGAGAGGAACTGTTGAGGTCATTTTGATCAATCTTTGTAAACCAGATTTTACCAAAACTATGTATTCTGCTCATTTCTAAAACACTAGCATAGTTATCTTCTTCAGTTTGGTTGTAGTACTTAGGGAAGCAACCAAAACAGAACTAGACTCAATGAAGGAAACAGCAAAGAAGCATCAGAAATTTTTGGCTTTTTATCCTCTATATTTATTTTGGTAACTCTACCAATTGACCAATACCTGCAAATCAGTTTTACAAGGTGAGCTTTTTCCCACTATACAAATAGTTCTCACCACAGGCAGATGTGTCTCCCAAAGCTATACTCTCCCAGTTCTTGTATGATCCACACACCTCAGACAGTGCTGTCTTACTGAGAGCTCACAGCAAAAGCCAATTCGATATAAACACATAGAAACCAATGACATGCTAAGTTCTTCTCTAATACCCCAAAGAGGTTCTAGGACTTCCAGTTATAACTGAGGGATACCCAAGTGCTAATTGTGCCTAATGAGAAAAACAAACATACCTAATTAATTGCATTGCTCAGGGCTAGTGAAAGACCAAACATTTCCAAAGCCCCTTGAGAATGGTCATATTCATGCAGAATGGTGCTACACGTGAGATTACTTCTTTAAAGCACATGCCTTCTCCTTTTATCTCTACCACCGGTCTCTGCGGACAGCTTACACTACACTGATTCAAATCTAACCACTGGGATTCTCCTTGTTAATGCTAACAGTAAAAGGGGATAGTGTTATGGTTATATTTGTCTTGCATTTCATTAGAAGCTGTGCATTTTGGAACTCAGAAGTAGAAAACACTAAATTAAACCTACATTGTCAAGAGGAGATAAGATCTTAAAATAATTATCAGCATTAAAATTGTACCTGGAGACATTAGAAACTGCCCCCTACAAGCACATAGACCAAGAGTTAAAAGTTTACATTTTATAGCATTGAAGGGCAAAAGGTATATGTTTTGAGGAATCAAAATGTTAATATTGGAATTATAGTCAAAGCTTAATTTATCTATGGTATTACATGAGGTAGCAAAATTCACCACTCATTTAAAACTTCAGCAATTACTTTCAATATTGTCCTTCAACAGTTCTTTATTAGAACTAGGTATATAAACTCAGAGTCGTTGACTTATAATTCCACTTCTCTCCCATATACTCATTACCTGTCTAAAGAGAAAGGAAAAATGACGGCCACAGAGTTCTGTGGGAGATGAGAGGAAGAGGAGTCAGAGAGAGGAGACAGAAGAGGTAAGGAGCGGGAGAAAAACGGAGCGAACTGGCCTCAAGAAAAGGAATTGTGCAGGGTGGTTGATGGAATGCTTCAGGAAAATGGACGCAATGAAAAATGCAAATAGATTTTTTAATAATTGCATAAATAGTACCTCCACTTCTCTTCAAGAATCTGCAGTTAATGATTTTAAGTAATGCATACTTTCAATGTGATTAACATGTTAGATACCAAGTTATGGTGCTCACGATCACAGGGTCTAAATGCATGCATGAAGCTAGACAATCTTACTAGAAAATCCATAGACTGTTTGTTTTGTGGTCTCAGGTACATTTTTGCCATCACTTGCAAAGGAGTTTAGGTCCTATAGTTCCTTAACATTTCTGTTTTGAACTTTTGGCTAAAACTCAATTAAGTCAATAGCAAATTGAGCTAAATAAGAACAAAGATAAAGATATCCCAGGAAAGAATCCAGTGTTTTTTTGAGACTTAATCCAATCAAAATGGAGAGAACAGAAGATAGTGTAGGTGGAATTAATGGGACCTAGTTACTGGCTCATCGAGTCATCCTAATAGTCAGAAATACAAAGCAATCAGTTTGAAAAATGATTCTGTTCATTTGATAGCTGACAAAAGGACTCAGCAAAGACCTAGCATAAAGGACAATAAGGCTGCTTCTCAGAGGACTCACCTGTCTTTCCCGGTTTCCTTCTTGAAAACTCCATCGCAGTAACTCATGCGCTTCTCGGTGGTGACATAAATTTGGGCGCTTGGATAGATGTCAACAGTCTTTTTCAACATGTTGTAAACGATGCCATTGCCATCCTTCCTCATATTGCGGAAAGGGCCCCAAATAACATAAATAGTAGTGTTTGCCTCCTTGAAAAAATAATCTGGGTTTTTTAGCAAAAGAGGAACGCTGGTATGGGACACAACTCGGATCATCGTCATGCGCCCAACATCTTCTTCATAGCCCTTGGTCGGGGCATTGTTCATTCTCCAAATGCAGGAGGACTGATCTATCTCATTCCCCACCTTCTGGCCGACCATCTGGCCTGAGTTTGACACTATGGCACAAAGGTCACAGTCCAGTTGTAAAGGCTGAAAAACAGAAAGAGACAAGATCGGAGGGGAAACATAAATTAGTAAGGTCCACCTATTCAAACAAGTTTCTCTGGGAAAACAGAAAATTCAAATGTTGTGTATGAGTAGTGAGTGCTGGAAGGTCTCTGAAATGTATTAACCAGCCCCAAAGTGACTGTCACAGGTTATCAAGCCAGGTGCATGCTTTCACTTTAAAAAGTGAGTACAGATGATTAAACAATTTTAATTTCTATCTCCTGTGTTGGTTTAAAGTTAAATGGAAAAATTGCCATTTGTTTTCCACTCTAAAAGATGAGTTTTCATTAAAACCATAATTTCAAATGAAATAAGGAAATAGGAAAAGATTTGATCTCTTTAATAAGGATGATGACTAAAAAGAAAGTAAAAGGAATATATCCAGGCATCAATTCTATATTTTACTTATATGCATGAATGGTTACATAGCAGTTGATGAAAACATGAAAAATTCAGCAAACCAGAACTACCTAAGACAAGACTCAGGCTAGCAAAAATACTACAGAGAAACCCTTAAAAACTTTTTTGTACCCCCAAGCTGCCTGTCCTTTGTGTTTGTTTATTCCAGATGGATAAGGAAAGGCTTCTTTTATGAACTCAGACAAAGCCTGTGCAGTGATAGTTTCCAAAGCTACTCTAACCACCCACCTCCCTTTTTTTAACCAATGCGATCACAAACACTCAGAGGTTAAGCACCAGCTATTAGGACTTGCAGACAGATTTAAACTGCAGTGGTAGATTCAAATCTAGATCTTCTTACTCTGAACCCACTGCCTTTCCCATTACTCTTTGATTCTTTCCTCCAAAGCTAAGTCCCTTTTGCTGATTCCCTCCCATGTGACGAAAAGGCGCCCTATTTTTTAAAGCAGTAATGAAAGAGCAATGTGCTTTGTTGATACACATGTTGCTCATATACCTTCTGTGAGATTCCATATTTTGTTTCCGACATTTGCTCCTGGACTTTCACTGTGCCTATTGGTCAGTGGCTCCTCTCACACTCAGACATAATTGTTAATTATGTCTGTGCACTAGACAGTAAAGTCTGTAAGAGTTGAGTCAATCTTTGTCTTCATTTCAACAAAACTCTCCAGAAGTCCCTGGAATACTATAGGAGCTCAAAACATCGTAGTTAAATTAGGTAATGAAAGCAATTAAGTTAAAATAATTTATCAGGACTCTGAACATTGAATTTAATATTAGGAAAGAAAGGGACTTTTCCAATTCATCTAGGGTTGTTAATTTAGATAAAAAGAGAAAATCAGTCTAGAAGAAATACACAAACAGACCAACAGGTCCGATCTCCACGGGTAAACTGATAGGCAAACTGCCTCAGAAAAGTCACCAGGATAATTATCACACAACTGTAACAGATCATCTTTCCTATCAACAGTTGGGATTTGACAAAGTTATTGAGCATCTACTATGTGCCAGAAACTGCTCTAGGGGTTGGGGACTCCACTGTGAAAAGCTTAAACAAATATCCCTTTCCTCATAGAGTTTACATCCTGCTAGGGGGAGACAGGCAATAAGCAAATCCACATGGTACCTGTTAGATGGCAATGGTGCTAAGTAGAGAATATTAAAGCAAGAAAGGGGGTTAGAGTGTGTTTGTGCATGTGTATGTTGGTAGAGTGATCAGTAAAGGCCTCAGAGGGAAAACGGTATTTGAGGAAAGACCTGAATGAAGAGGACTGGCTACTAGATATTTTGGGGGAAAAGGTATTCCTGCAAAGCGAAAGCTGAAGTCACTGCCAACTTCCCAAGGTAAGGGAGGAACAATCAAGAGAGCACTGTAGTCTGGTGGAGCACACAGGAGAGCAAGGGTACCGAGGCCAGAAAGATGACAGGGGAGACGTCACATAGGATCTTCAACTGAGGAGCCATCAGAGGCCTCTGAGGAAAGGGGTGACTGATCTAAGTTACATTTTACCAACTTTGGCTGCTGTGTGGAAAACTGACACAAAAGGCAAGGACAGAACACGACAGAGCAGGCTACTGTCACAATTGAGGCAAGATAAGACAGTGGCTTGGAACAAGTTGGGTAACAGGGAGGTAGCAAAAAGAGGTCACATTCTGGAAATATTCTGAAAGTACAGCCTACTGGGTTGACCAGTAGATGGCACATAGGATGTGAGAGAAAGATTATTAAAGACAACTTCTGATTTTTAGCCTAAGCAACTGGAAGACTGGAGCTGTCTTTAACCCGGAAAACAAAGGCTTCGGGAGGAGCAGGGCCGGGGAGGAAGAGGAACTCACTCTCAGACCCGTTAGATTTGAGCTGCCTGCAGAACAAAAAAATGAATAAAAGAATGAAAAATCTTCATATTTCTACCACTCAACAGTTGCTACAATATTTTGTTGTATTTTCCTCCTCTTACATATATTTTAGAAAGGTCAAGAAATACCATTTATACAATTTGGCAACTTTGGTTTTGCATTTGATTTCACACCTTAAGCTTTTCCATGTCAATAAATAGTTCTTAGAGATATTTTTAATGCCTACTCAATATTTCATTAAATGGGCTTACCATCAATGTACCTGTTGCCTACTGTTAGGCATTTAGTTACTATTGGATTTTTTCTATTATAAAAAAACTGCTTTGATGAACATATTTGTGCTTCCCATTTTATTTTGAATGCTAACAGTCATAAATTAATTTAGTTTTACTTCTTGGATTTAGTTTTCATTGTACACCTATAAAATATGATAGAGAAAAGCTTCTATTTGAGATGTCAGAATTAGGAATTTCAAAAGAACTGGACTTGTAGAGCCCACAATGGTCCACTTATGAGGTAGGTTAAAACTGCTGTCAAGGGGACTATCCATCACCCCTGCTACAGTAAGATTTCTGAACTAAGGGGGGTATCATGTAGTTCAGGCACAGATTAGAATAGGTCCACTCAAGGTAGGCAAGTATATTAGAACACTTGAAAATGGGGTTTAAAGGTTGGTGCTATAGTGAAAACCTTATTAATGACCAAATGGAAGCAGAAGAAGGTGTCTCTTGGCATCGAGCATTGATCTAAGACCCTTCCTCAAGCATCTAGAAGCCTACAATCTTTTGGGTGATAAGAAGTACACAATATTCTTTCTGCTAGGTGATTTGCAGTAGGTCCCGACATCCATTACACTTAGCTGAGTCCTCCAAACTCACCCAGAATCATGCAAATCATGCCTGATTTAAATTGTGTGTGTCATATGGCATGCTCAAACTCATCACCAAGATGCATATGGTGTGGGTAAGTTATGTTCAATTTATTGTTCCAAGAAGTTGCTTCACTGTATAATGAAAGCATTTGGGGGTGGGGGTATGGACTACACAAAGTTTTTAAAAATTAAAAAGGGAAAAGGAAGATATAAAGAAAATGCCTTTGATGTGTTCTAATCGGCAAAATGCAGCAATTTGCATTGGATTTCCCAGCCATGAGAAAAAATTAGCTGGCTCTACTGTAATAACAAGACTTAATTTAGCTAATAAGAATCAGCATACTGGTTTCACTTGACAGTTGTAACCCCTAAAAGTGATCAATTAAGACATCACAATCTGTTGCATGACAACATATTGGGATGCCGCAGCTGTGCAGATTATGGGGTCACCAGCTGACTAACAACTTGAGGGCAAACAATGGGAACAGCAGCCTTTTATTTAAGTAACAAATATGTAATTGGGCAGAGTGCTACGAATGCAATGCCTTTGAGGGGTAGATGATAATTTTTAAATTGCTCCTTTCTCTCATACTATTCACTTGGCTGTACTGTCACCATGGCCAGAATCTTAGGGGACTTTCACATGTCCCTACTGCTTGGTCACAGGCCTGCCTAGCTGCCTGACTTCCTGAATGAGATACCAGGAGATGTGGCTGCATATGGGGACCGCTCTATTTACCACTTCATTGCAGGAACCATCCTTACAGTATGAGAGGACTGCAGGGCTAGATGAGGGAAACATTCTTCATCCTAATTGAAGCTTCAGGTAACACAAAGAGCTTGCTTGCTAAGGCCCAAGGGAGTCATTTATATGTTTGCAGGCACCTTCAAACTACAGTAAGCTATGATAAAAAGAAAGAAATATCTAGTCACAAATGGACGGTTTGACCCAAGAGCTGCTCTTCCTGGTTATTTCAGCTCCTTTTATTGGCTTTATCCCTGCATCTTGTGATCTCAACTTTCTTTGTTAAAATGCACTGCTGTTTCTTGGACTCATTTATATTATTTGATTTGGGGTCCTGGCTTGAAAATTTATTCCATATGCTTCCACTTGCTCGGTTCTACCTCAGTAAGCAGTTTCTTTCTACAACGAGGCCCTGGATTTTCCCAGACCTTTAGAGAGATTTATCTGGTTCTACTTTATCAAGTCCTGTCTTTATTTTAAATTCCCCCTTTTCATTGACTTGTCCCTACTTCTGTATGTTTTTTCCCATTACAAACAAACTTGACCTCTTCATCTGTTTTTCTCTTGTACACTCAAGACATCATCAAACCAACTGCTTTGGAGGGGCTTGGGCTATGTCTATGAACTGAGATCTCTGCAAATATACAACCAAGCCTGTCTGAGCAACTGTGTCCCTGCTAAAGAAAACCCACAAATGTCACACACTTCTTTTATTTGAAGTCTAAAATATTGATTTTTTAATGGTAACATCACTATATTTGATTTGGGTATTTTCTCTCTGTGTAAAAGGATACTAACTCTGACTGCATACCTGGTTATAGACACTCAGTTTGGGGAAAGTTAAGAATTTGATGACATCTATTAAACAACCAAGTAGTTTTTACTTAGTGCCTGTTCTGTGCAAAGCACTGTGATGGTAAAATCATTTTAGAAGTCCAATCAGTGGGAGCTTTAACCTCAGTATGTGATCAACTAGATTCTTTCATATACTGTGCTATTTTAAAGGCTGAAGAGACTGTCTTGAAAATCAAGTTTTTTCTCTGCTAAAATGAACCTTCCTGTCTGGGGCCCACGGAGAGCATGGGGAGG